GTACTAAGTACTTAAAGATTAAATAGACCTTTTTTTACCAAAATGGCTAGATCAATAATAAATGAGGGAATGATTGGCAACAGAGAATTTCTTGAAATTCAAAAAATTTCTTGCCGGAGTTAAAATTTTTGACAATGATCAACAAATGATCAACATAAAAAATATCCACAATTGTTGCAAATTCATGACAAATGATTATCTGGGTGTTAAAGAAACATTACAGCAATTGCCCACCGGTTTGAGTAGATTATTTTCACGTGTAGTTTAGTTAGTATTTTTGTCTATTTTGACTTATATGTAATTTTCTACTTATAATCGCGTCCATGTTAGGTTTCTAACTGGAACCCATTAATAAAATAAAAATAAAAGAAACATTACAGCAAAAAAAAAAAACTCTTTCTTACAAATTGTTAAAAACGCTTAAAATCCACATTAAAAATCTTACAATTTTTAGAAAATGTCTGGAAACGCTAAACGAGGTGGTAGAGGTGGTAGACAAACACGTAGTTCAAGCTGTAATTCCCAAGCAGGTGGAAGTAGGCCAACTAGTCCTGAAAATCAGTTTACCTTTAGTGCACCGAAGGAAACTGCTACTCATCAAGAGAGTATTTGGAAAACTTATCAGAAAAAGCCGCAACCAACGTCTGATAAAAAGATGACAGAAGCCATGGAAGCTGAACGTGCTATGGACATGAAAAAAATATTGTTTTGGACACTTATGGTCCAAACTCCAAATCTTCTTCTGGTAACGACAAAGGGAAAGCTACTGAAAAGTCCAAAGCGGTCGCAAAAGAATTGTCACGTAACCCTCCTTTACCTCCGCAGAATATTGTGAACAACGTGAATGGAACCAATAAGGTTCCAACTCTTAACAAAGAAATTGTTTCAAATCCTCATAAGGATCAACAACAATCTGTTGTTTTGCCTAATCAGGATAAGACTAATCTGCAAGCCGATCAAGGGTCCCAGCCCATGGATGTTGATCCTAGTAATCTTAACAAAGACCCGTCAATCATCACTATAGAAAAAGTTAAAGAACATATTGCACTTGTTCCATATGGTGAACTTATTGGAGGAAAAGGTTTAAAAACTATTAAAATTAAAAAGGCGCTACAAACCTATAATATCCAGTATAACAAACAACTTCCAGTTACCCCGTTAGGTAAACAAAGAGTAAAGGTATCATTTTTGGATAAAGAAAAATTTGACCAATTTCTTAAAATGGAACTTGTTATTCAGGAGCAAAAAGAAGGTGATTCGGGTGAAGTGTTTAATGTGAAACTTCAACCTACCCCATTGAAGCCTGAGAAGGTGGCTACTACAAATGATAAGAATAGTGATACGTCACAAAATTCTAATAGTCGTACAATTCAAGTGATCGACATTCCTGCGTATAGGCAGGTACGTGAAATTCGTGAGTCCTTTGAAGATCTTGGTGAAATTGAGAAAATTTATACGCGAGGTGCTGGTCTTTACCAAGTTGCTTTCATTACGTATAAGGATGCTAATTCTATTGATTATTTTAATGAACAATAGAGCTATCATATTAATAAAAACATAGTTAGAGTTTTACCCCTATTATTGAGCAAGGAGGAACGCGAAAAAAGGAAGCAATTCTCGTTAAGATTATCAGGTTTACATTATCAAACNAGATTTTAGCATTTCTGGGCCTTTCAAATTAGATTATAGTACAATTATGGATAATTCTGTGATGATGATCACAGAACGTGACATACGCCCATTTTATATATATTCTTTAACCATGTACATTCTTAAAATTTGAAACAATTGTATTTTATTCTTGAATGGGTTCCCACCTTGTTATGGTTGTGTCACCAGGGGCGCTATGTCAACGGAAACTTAGTACGTTGATCGCTTAAAAATCCGCGGCAATCCAATCATAACAAGAGGAATTAATTTTTATATAAGATATTGTACTATTTGTGTATGTTATAATTAAATTACAATATTTTACAATTATACAATTAATAATTTATTATTGATAAAAAAAATTATGTAATCTATTAAAATTTTAATTATTAATAATAAAATGCGTTACTTAATTTTTTTTTTTTTAAAAAAAAATAACTATTGTACGATATCCAATAACGAGCATCTTATTATGGTTTGTATACAACTTATCGCTTCTATATAACAGATATGAAGTGAAATGACAGAATCTATAATTACATGTTTTTTAAAAATAAAAATAATTGTATTTTCAAAAATTAAAAACGTATTTTTCACAATTAAAAAACAAATAAAGTTTCATATTACCTCCATGTAGAAAATATAAAGTAGTGAGGTAGAAACTGGACAGTCTAGACGAAAAAAATGCCACTAGCGATCGACCATATAATCACGTGATAGTCACATGCTAGAAGCGTTAAAGTTGCTAAATCAGAGGTTTCAGCAAAGTAAGGAAGAAGGAATTTATGGAGTATTACCATATATGGCACCAGAAGTTTTACGTGGACATCAATATACAAAAGCAGCAGATATTTACTCATTTGGAATAATAATGAATGAGTTGCTTTCTGAAGAAATTCCTTATGGTGATATTTCTCATGATGAATTTTTAGCTGTTAAAATTTGTAAAGGACAGAGACCAAAAATTTTTGAAGATGTACCAAAATTACTTGCAGACTTGATTATAAGATGTTGGGATGCTGAAATAGAAAATAGACCAACTGCCAAAGAATTGTATCAGATATTAAAAAAATGGATGGATGAAACTTGTGATAGTGATGATAGTGATGATAGTGATGATGATGGTGGTGAAGATGGTGAAGATAATGAAAATAATGAAGACAGTAAAAGTGATGAAAATAGTCAATATAGTGAAATTTGCTCTCAAATAAAAGTATGTAATGAAATTGGAAGAAAAAAATTTAAAAGTAGATCAAGCAAAGATAAACCCAAAAATATTCAAACACATTCACAAGCAATTTATACTAGTAGACTTTTAAATTTTAAAAATCTTCCAAAACCAGTAAATTCTTCAGATTTATCATCATTTCAATTTAATTCAGGTAATTTAACATTTTTTTTGTTATGAAAACCATTTACATTATTAATTTTATTATTTTTTTTCCAATAGATGCTAAGTATGCTATTCAATCAACATTGGCGAATCCAAGCAAGTATTTCTTTTAATTATCGTTACTATGATTATTTATAATTTCTAACGGTCAAATATTATTTTATTTACAGTTTCAGAATGTTTAGATGTTCAATTAAGCGAATTAGGTAAGTTGTTATTTATTTATAGCTTTATTAATATTTCCTATCTGATTTATTTATTTATTTATTTTTATAGAACTGAATGAAATTTGTCAAGATGGTGAAAATAATATTGAAAGTTGAAGTCAATGGTTTAGTAATTGAAGAGCGCGTTCAGTTGGACGGTTGAAGTTAACTTTACTTTTATTTCTATTTTTATATTTTATACCCTGGTTTACTTTGTTTACATATGCAGTACATACATATTGATTGTATTTATTTAGAAATTCCGTTTTTATTTAAAATAAACAACTTAAATTCTTTATATTTCAGTTATTTGATTTATTGCTTATTTATACAATATTACTACCTTCCTTTTCAAGTCTTTTATTAGTCACGCACATTACTCTTTGTTAAGAATCAATTAAACGTCGACTCAAAATTGATCGTTACTATCAATTTTTTTACAAAGAAAAAAAAATTTTTTTGATGCAAATGAATTATCAGAAAATGTTAATCTGAGCATTAGAAAATGTATGATGCTCAAAGAGGGAGGGAGTACGCAGATCCTAGTCCAGCCCCAGAATCATGTTATTTCTTTGTTCTCTCAGGCTTTTTACAAATTTCTATACTAATTGTTTTTTCTTGCTAACTACAAGATTCCATTTTCTACAAATACGAAATAAACTATGTTTACAAAATCTCCACCAATATAAATCACTCCTACCCACACAGATTATACAGAAATTTTCGATCTTAGCTAATTTCCGCAAAAGAAGTTTCCCGAGATTGAATAATTTCGAATCTACGGCATAAATCGAAAGATTGGCAACTGATATAAAAAAAGTAATGTAATGTTACTGATTCACATTTACCGTTACGTCTCATTTTCAGAATATTCAACCTGCCTTGATGTTTAAGAAATTCGACGCATAATTTTTTTATTACCAGTATGATACTGCGCAAACATTAAGAATTCGGTGCTTATATTTTTTGATGTACTGCGTACTGTGCCGCTGCATGTGATGAATAATTTCACTGCGCCTATCATTATACCTATTATATACGTGATCATTGTCTCACTCGTGTTGTAATCTACAAGATTAGTAAGATTAGTTATCTTCATTAACGGATTTTAAATTATGATGATTTGATTTCTCAAAATTCTTATTAATCACAAAAAGTTTTTTAATTTCCAATATTATGCAGAGATGATTCACCCAATCTCTATTGTGATTTACAATTATGATCCGAGCAATTATAGCAGTGTTGCCCGTTTGGCCGTTTGGTCATGGCCAAAATGGCCAAATTTAAATTTTGGCCAGCCAAAAATCAGCCAAAATATTTATATATTTAAATAAAGTAAATAATAAGATTTAATAGCTTTAAAATTTTCTGGTAGTATTTCAATAAAAGGTTTACAATTAAATGACATTTTTAATATATTGTTTGTATTTTAGATGTAAGACAACATAATTTTTAACGTTATATTAAGATTATTTGCCAGTTTGGCCATTTTGGCCAATTGGCCATCAGCAAAATCGGCCAAATCGGCCAAAAAAAAATTTGGCTACGGCCAATTCCAATAGCATTTTGGCCGCTAATTTTGGCCGTTGCCCTTGGCTGATGGCCAACGGCCAAATAAATTAGCTTGGCCGCGGCCAAATGCCAACACTGATATAGAAGCTACGTATATATTTGTTATATTTATTATCATTTTAAATCTAAGATAAAATAAAAGTAAAATTGTAAAACCTATTCATTTGAATGAAATTAAGCGATTATGGGTCACGAGACATTTCACATTACCTCAAATTTACTATTGTTTTTTCCCAATCTTCTTTAATCGACTAATTATTTCATAAACAGGTCTTAAAATAGATGTACATAGTTTGATTAACCCAAATTTGATATAAAGTTATAAACAAGAGGATTTTTATTTTTTTATTTTTATTTTTAAAATCCACGTGAACTAGACTACAGAAAGATAGACAAGAACAAAAGATAAAACAAAAGTCAAACGCTATCTAATACTAAGCTATAATCAAACCGCCCAAGGACGGCGCCACTCTGGTATATAAAACGAAACAAGGGTGGGTCCCAATTACGACACCAATCCCGAAAAAAACCAAATAACAGGCTAAAGGACTAAGTTCTAGGTGGATTATGTGAGTCTAAAAAGGATTGAACTGGCGAAAACTGATCTAAATTAAACAAGAGACTATCTCTATATGACTCCCAAGTACCACTATGTAAAAAATTACAAGTCGTCCATCTTATACAAGCGGACACGTCAATATTGACTAGTTGTTTAAAATAAGGAAGAACTTTGTTATGATAGTAACGAGTATATTGGTGGCGGCGTCGAAACGGAACTACGAGAGGCGTTTCATCCGCTGGTAAAGGTGGTTGAGGGCGAGAGGGTGTTTTATTCTTTCGATAATTTTCTTCTTTTTGAGCGTGATGTTAAGGCTTTTTTCCCACTGTTTAAATGAGCGGGAGCGTGATGACCAAGTTAAGGTAGTTAATTCAGAAATAAAATCAGCTACAAATCCAATTAGGAAACGCGAACGTTCGCTTTGTTTACTGAAGTAGTTATCAAAAAATACTGTGAGATCTCGAGGGATCAAGTGATGTAGTAACAAAATCCACGGTTGTTCACGCGGAATACGGATTGGAGTATTAGGATCAGCCTGCCGTGCTGAGTCTAGAATATCTGGAAGTAACTTGAACATATGTGAGTTGTTAATTCTTGATTCTATATCGAACGAGAAACTACTGGTGTGTTCGACCTTAATAAGGTCGATTAATTTTTGTTTAAATTTTGTTAAAAGTATGTCGATGGCGCTTCGATGAGCAGGGCATAAGCCTATATGTGAATTAGTGTCTTCGTCGAAAGAGCTTTCAGTACAATGGATTCGTCCAAAAGGGTAAAGATCTGGATAATTGCGTTGTAATATATTGCCGGTAGGGTAATTGAAAGTAGATTTTTTAATTTTAGACGATTGGATATTTCATAGTTTCGATGATGTAGGTGTATCCGTTGGATTATAATTGATCCAATGTTTGGTATAATACCAATCTATATCTCCATGTGTAATTTGATGATTAATAGGAGACAGCGAACTATTATTCACGGCCATATTAAAAATGCGCGACTGAATAGGCGTATTAGCCCATTTGCGAACATTATGATCAATAATATATAAATGGTTGTAGTTGAATAAAGCCAACGAACTTTGTTGAAAGAATTTGTGATTTATCAATATCAGGTCTACCGATAGTCGGCCTTCTTTAGCGAGAGCATCAGCTTGATCATTGCCTTTGATGTTACTATGTCCTTTAACTTTAACGAGATGTACCGTTAAGTAGTGATGGGAAATTAACCAACTGATCAAATCCCAAATTAAGAAATTATTTTGTTTGAGCCTACGACGTGGACTAATAGTGGGTGAAGTAGTCTTTAATTAAAAATATCTATGCAGTTTTGAGAATCTGTATATATGTGGCAGGTAGCATTAAAGGGTAAAACTAATAAAATTGTTAAAATGGCTAAACTTTCACTCTTAAACGAGGAAGGAAAAAATATAGATGAACCATTAAAAGATAATTGAGGGATTAATGGGTTGGTTTGTAACCAACCAAAACCAGATTTACTGTTAATTGTACCTATATCGGAGACGGAACCGTCTGAATAAAATTCAAAATTAGTAAAAGGTAAAAATTTTTTGGCTATATCAATAAGGGATAATTTGATAGAATCTATACATAAAAGGGCAGATTGAATGGGTAAAATTAATTGATTAATAATATCATCATTTACAGATGAAGGTGAATTAGCGGACAAGGACGTATGAGTAGGAGTGATAGTATTAATATTATGTTGAGCTAAATATATACTATGTGCACTATGTCTAATAAAATGTAATGGTTTAGTACTGACGAAATATTTTTTTAAAAGAAGGTTTGCGTATTTTTTATGTTCTTGATTTGAGCGATGAAATATATTAAAAACTGATAAACGAATTGTACGAATAGATATTGAACATTTAATACGGACGTCTAGTAAAACTAAACTATTATCATTTAAATGACAACCCGTACAAGGAATTAAAATTAAAGGTGATGACCGTAACGGTTGGGATGAGGAATCATTCACTAATAAGGAATTATTAATAGGGATATAATGTTCCATGGTACTAATAGAACTATGTGTATCAGTATCTTGTACATATGTTTTTCCAATAACGCAATTTTGTATACTAGCGTTCCAATGGTATGTCCATTCATTATGTTTTTTATGACTACCTGATGAGCGTACTGGAATATTTTGTAAACGCGTAGGAATGGAGTAATTATCAGTAAGTGGGTATGTTAACGTACGGTAATTACTTAAGGTGAAATCATTTTCTAGTAGTTTGAACCACTTTGGTTTAGGTCCTTTGAAGTTGTTGTTATTAAGTCTTTTAACTTCATTCCAAGTTAAAAGGTAGTTGCCATCGGGCGAAACTAGTTGATCCAGATACATAATTCGTTTATTACGTAACGATTTATAATCATTTGACGATAAGTCTGGTAAATAATCCACTATGGGTGTATGTCCACCAATGATACCATAACTAACAGTGAGGTCTAGGTGAATTTGGTATTGTTCTAACAACGCTAGACTTCTTGACAAATAGCTGGGTGTCGAAATTTTCCCTATATATTTATTGATATCTTGAGGTATACCCAGGTACCATAGTTCTTGTGTTAATATATCCAATTTTTGTATTGCTATCGGTCTTAAGGTGTCAGTATTAAATAAAGCCAACAACGAGTTAGTTTGTGACTTAACTAACAAATCCAATAAATTATCGATATGAGGAAACATATTATTATAAATAATATTATCCGCCGTATTTAACGGTAGCGAAAAAAATTTTTTGAATAATTTTTTAAGTGGAACCACTAATTTTTGAGCCTGTGTATAATTTAAAATAGTATGTTGGAAAAGATATTCCAACTTAGGAAATATAACTCTATTAATGATATATATGGCGTGTGAATGTGTGATTTTTTTGTTTCTCATTGTAATCACGTGAGCCATGATGATAGAACGTGCTTTGATTAAGGTTTGGTGATGTCTGTCTAAAGGATTGATATATAAACCTAGAATTCTTGTGCCCTTATATTTCGGGACGATTTCTACTTCCGTTTGTCGTCCATTGATCGTGAGTTGGATATTTCTGATGTTATCCGT